TGTACAATGTTCTACTGTGTGAGCATTCACTTGTCACCGCGGTCCGTATAATATTACCTTTTACGACCTAAAAACGGAACTAGGAAAGGGGCGGTCGACTTACAATCGGGGTTCAACTGCCGTTAAACCGGGAAATTGAGGTTCCAAGTAGGGGGCTTCGACTTTTAACAGGGATCGACTTACAAACAGGAAAAACGGTATGCTCTGCGCTTGGGTCGCACAGTGCTGGGGCGGCCAGTTTTCAAATTTCCTTTTTACTAAATTCCCCAAGTTCAAAAGGAAAAACGAATACTGTTCTTTGGTGCAAACATAGCTCCATCCAGCTACGAACGTCTTCTTCCTTTGTCATGTCTACCAGTCAGAGGCACCAAAGAATATTAGCTCCTTATGTCTCCTTTCCTGAACGGATCGAGCTCAAGAGCTCAAACAAACCAACAAACAGCCTTCTTGTCGAGATTTGAATTTTACTCCTAGCCTGCCTGCTCTGAGCCTGACCCGCGACCTGATTTCTGCGATTGACGTTTTTCTAGTCGGCCGTGCGCTTCATAAATTTTTGTATGACGTAAAATATGCGTGAACACGCTGTGCACTGCGTTCGCTGTTATCCCTACTTTTTTGACCAATAGACCAACGCTGGAAATGCACTTGTTAACATAATCATGCTCTGGCCTCTTTTTCTGTATTTGCAGAATCTGCCACTCCCGTGTCCAAAACAACAGATCCTGGCAAACAAGATCAGGCAACACGTAAGAATTTAGATTTGATAGAACCATAATGCAATAACGACACTTGAAGATGGCATTCTGGAGTCAGAATCATGAGGCCACCAATGTCCATATGCAGCGAGTAAAAATGGAAAATGGCCACCAAGTGGGTCCCGCGCTACCACTTTTTGGCGCTGTGATATCAATCTTGGGAAAGTCACAGTAAAAGTAATGAAGCTTTGGGACGGGTACAGCCACCTTGTGCCAAAGCATTTTTTTTGCCGTACTGTAAATCTACTAATTTTCGGCCCATTCAAATTTAGGCCTCCCAGGGCTAAATAAAACCCATTTTGGCCACATCAAATTTTCGACCTGTACTACTTCCACCTGTATTCACTGTCACGCTGAACCTTGGAAAACAAAATTTCGGCCGCAGCAAATTTTCGGCCAAACATGACCAGGCCGAAAATAGCCGAAAATAAATATGCGCCGAATATTTTGTTGACTTACAGTAGCTTGATATCCATGATGAAATGATACGACAGGCCATACCACAGCTCCTTTACGAAAGGCGTGAAAGCTAATTCAGCTTGTGGCAGACATTTTGTTTTTACAACTTCTCATAGGATGGTCTAACACAGTGCTCCCGATGTTTGTTTTCTAGAGGTCTGTGTTAAATCATCTGATGATAGGATTTGTGAATGTTCGTACTGCGAACGGGGAAGTCAAAATGGAATACTGATACAATCCACCCTACTGCAACAAGGAATTATCATAAGGATCTGACTTACTTCTTATCCAATCGTGCTGTCCTAGAAAAAACGTAATGTCTGTAAAATGTCTGTAAATGCATGTCTAATCAGGGTACGTTCCACTGTGGTGAGTGGTTATCTTGGTTTGGATGATCCTGGGTTTACTTTATGTAGGATTTATAATTCTATAATATTATGATTGTGGATCTCCGAGAACGCATTCAAATCAATGCGACTATACATGTATCACTATTTTCATCTCATCATGGACTGGGATGGAGAGCCAAGGATAAATTTATAGTAAAGAAAAATAGGACCGAGAAACTACAAGTTACGCTAGAATGTCCACTAACACCACCAGTTACTAAACAATCAGCTCATGCGATAACATTGCACGACACTGACTGACGGTACTGACGTCTCATCATAATTTTAAATATTTTCTCATCGAGTGCTGTTGTCTTTCTCTCCTTTGCTTTTCTACATTCACGTATAGGGAAAGCAGTAGCAGAGGACCCGTTTCAGTCCACTGCGTACTGCCAGTTTATTCAGCCATGGCTCTGCACTCTGCCTGCAAGGGACTTCCGTATACGGCTGCACAGAAAATTGGGCTGCTAAACATAGGCCAGGTCGACCTTCTTGAAAGCATTGAAACCAAAGATGATGACCACCCGCACAATTCCAGGCTGCTGAAGATGATCAGGTCTGAGCTGATGGGCGGTTTCGTCAAGCTGTACAACGCTGTTAAGACATTTTCCAAAGCGGACGACATGCTACAGAAGATGGAGGATTTGATTCCTCGCGAGCTCCGATAGATTTAGCCCACAGTACTTAGTCTGATGATGAGCGCATCTGTATCTTTATGATTCGTACCGGTATACACTATTTTAGTATTTTTTTGTGTGCATGGACTTTAATAGCAGTTTTCTCTCTCTCCGTCTCTCTCTCTCTCTCTATCTCTCTATCTATCTATCTATCTATCTAACTCGGAGGGAGTTGTGGTTGCTCGTGAGAGTGCTCAATACACCAAGGTGCAGAGCCTAGTACACACACTTGAGAGAGACGAAAAGCGTTTCTTCTGTAACTCTGAGTTTCACGGTTTTAACCGATCATCAGACAGCAACTTGACTACAATTTTCAGAAGAAAAGATTGATATAGGCTGCAAGCTATCTATCTATCTATCTATCTATCTATCTATCTATCTATCTATCTATCTATCTATCTATCTATCTATCTCTCTCTATCTCTCTCTCTCTCTCTCTCTCTCTCTCTCTCTCTCTCTGTCTCTCTCTCTCTTTCTCTCTCTCTCTTTCTCTCTCTCTCTCTCTCTCTCTCTCTCTCTCTCTCTCCGTCTCTCTTTCTCCGTCTCTCTCTCTCTCTCTCTCTCTCTCTCTCTCCGTCTCTCTCTCTCTCTCCTTCTCTCTCTCTCTCTCTCTCTCTCTCTCTCTCTCTCTCTCTCTCTCTCTCTCTCTCTTTCTCTCTCCTCATCCCTCTCTCCCTCTGTATATGTTTGAAGAGAATAGATGTGATCAGCATAATATGCATTGTGACAACACTAAACGACATGTACATTGTATGAAACGAAAGAAGAAAAACTAGCGATATGCATCATGAGTGCATGAGTGACTGTGTGGAATTTGCTATAGCATTAAATAAACTCAGCCTAATGACTTCATGCCATAGGGAAACATATTAGTACACGAAAAAATGAAGTCAGTCGTAAATCTGATGAGCCCTTACGTACCATTGCTTCTCAAATCAGTACATGGTGATAATGATTGTGACGAAGCACTACGATGTCAATTGGTACAGTGTATTGGCGGAGATTTCTAGTAATGGTCCGAAAGGCCTCATCAGATTTACAACTGGCTTCGTCCCTTCGTGTGCTAATATGACATTGTTACTGAAGTATAATATTGCATGTACATGTATTGCAATGTGGATGCGAATCATCGCTTTACTCTGTTTGGGTGTTAGCCAACCACGGCAATAAAGATAAGGAGGGGTTTTATTAAAGAGGGAACCTTATGATCACCTATACATTGCCACAGAAGTAGCGACGAACTCCACCATTTAAAAATTTTTTTTTTAGTTAAGTTGAACTGTCCACCTCTCCACACTGCGCGCTTGGCCCACATTCACCACACCACACCATAGCGAGGAAGTATTAGTTTGTTCTTGGGTACTGAGATGTTCCATATCCTCCAGGCAGCTCTTTCGCTCATTGAGGGCTCCTCGGCGGGCGTCGATATCACTAGATAACGGAATCAACAGGAGATAAAGGAATGAGGAGGCGCGATTGCGCACATTCTGCATAGAAAAGTGGCATACCCAAGGAAGTCGACAGAGGACAGGATGAAGGATCCGGTTGTTCTTCTTCTACTTCATGTGCAGAATGAACGTAACAGTAGTGGTGCTAGATAGTGGTACCAAGAGTATAATTATAAAGTATTAGTGAATAAATTGAAATGTATAACCCATACTGTGGCCCCGTGACTGACAGTCTGTGGGCAGTACTGGTTTGATGTGTTGGACAGGTACATGTACATGTACATGTACATGACTAGATGTACATGTAGGCCATCATGTACAATGTACTACTACCGTAATACTATAGTAATACTTTGAGAACGGGGTTATTCGCAACACCAATACTGGCAATAGCGTGAAGCCTGACCGTGAAGTCAGAACCAAAGCAAAAAAGACTAGAGGTTTTGCAGAGCGAACGTTCGCGCGAATTTTCGTTTGACGTCACCTGGTCACGAAAAGCGAAACAACGTTACTTCGTACGAACGTTCGCAGCTACATGTACATGTACACGTGGCTTTGAACGCGAACGTAACGCAGGAAACGCGAACACGAGTACTAAAAAACAGTTCACACTTGGAGCGAGTCGTGATCTTGTACTGGCTCAAGAGAGTTCTCGATGCACAGCCTTCTTCACAGAAAGAGGAGAGCGAAGCGGTGGCCGTGGCGCAGAGTTTCATGAAGATGAATCACCAGAGAACGAACGCACACATCTTCGGCCTGCGCTTTTTTGTGTGAAGTACCGGTTAATTTCCCTACAAGGGACACCATGACGTAGAGATCAAGTGGGGGTCGGGAGTCAATCAAGGTATTTCCCCTTCTCGCCAAATTTTGGTTTCTACTGCTGAGGCAGAGTTCTGCATGCAGGATGGGATCAAAGACTAGCGTCAGCTAGGGCTAGGCCGATCGAGACTACACTGAGTCTGAGTCTACAGACTCAGTACAGACCAGTACACATGGTAGATGACTGTAGTCTTTACTTGTTGTGTCAGCTACATCATACATGTACTTGAGCTTGACTGTTCAGTGTTCTGCACTACGACTGTCGAGTGTCGACTGCAGCCACAGGCGTACAGGTTAGCGCTATGATAAGATGACCATGATGACTATGATCACGAATCGATGACAAAATCATTGTAGAACCACTATGAGAATGTCTTTGTCAAGTTTGTGACGGTCAGGACTGTCAGAAAGGCGAATCTAGCTGCAGATGTACACTGTACTACACTCAGTACACCTGGTACACGCATGTAACTGTGTAACTGTTTGTGGAACGGACTACATGTACTTTGATCTGCGTGCAGTGCTTCGTTGTGCTGAAGTCTTTCCGGATCTTCACTGCAGTGGCTCGAGTCTCTCGGTTCGTGCGTGTCCGCTTGCCCAAGCAGACCATACGCCTGCTGGAAAATCTGATTATTAGATGCTCCCTGTGGCTGCGATTGCTCGCTGCTTGACCCTCACCCCAACACATCACGGTAAGAACAATTCAGGGATCCCAGAGCAATGTTTCTTCTTATCTTTCCTGAACGAACTTTGCGCGCGATTTTCATTCAGCGATCGCAGTCTGCAAGCCTAGGATGCCTAGGATGTGAACAGGAGACTACGATGATACTAGTAATATAATTATTATCTCCACTAGGTCAGCATGGGGGCCTGCACCATCGCAGGAGATGGACAATGCATTTTCCGTGCACCATCGCACCCGGTGCTGGATGCACCTTTCCTGTGTCCTGCTAGCACTGGAAGGGAGCATAAGAAAAGGATACTTGAAGGACACCAGGCTGTGCTGACCTCCCCTACTCCCTAGATGCTCACGTCAAAAGCCGGTGAAACGGGGTGTGAACCGTGAGCGGCAATGGGCTACGTAGATCACCCCCGCCCCCCCCCCCCACCCCAAAGTGTAGGGCGCGCATGTACTAGTAAACGAACGCTGGAAAGTGATACAGTCATGTACAGTGGTAGTTACTAGAATATCAGTCATAGCGTGAGTTCACTCACACTTCACTGGAAAAGAGGGGCATGGAAAAAATTGTTTTGGATAATGTGCTCCGATGCAATTATTATTTTGCTCTTATCATGCGACAAAAGCGACATGGACACTGACTCGTTCTCAAAGCCATGAGTTGGCAAGGCCATCCGTGTGACTTCGACGTCATTTTGAGAAAAGCAGACGCCTGTGAGTGCTGATAGGTGGCACCAGTGTTATGGAAAAGTATTATTGCAAGATCCGAATGTTACTGGAAGCCAGGTGTTGCTGTGCAGTTCTTTTCCATGGAGGGCGCATGTGCAATTTACTTCCATGTACTGTCGTGGACATGGAAATCCGGTCGCACGTCCAGGGCGCTGGCCAAGCAGCTGTGGGTAAGCAGGACGAACGTGTACACACATTTATGCGCTGCAGCACGCTGGTTGCATTGGATCAGCATGACTAGACTGTGCACTGCAAGTCTGCATGCAACGTTCTGTACGCGCCGAGGGCGCCGGGCCCCGGTCAATCGACTGGATTTCCCGCTACAGTACTAGGCACTGCGCATTGCTCAATGAAATCCAGTCGCGTCACTCACGTTTGCGCCTTGCACCTTTCTTCCCAGCCCGGTGTTCGCTGGTCTTGGGGTGCGCAACGCCCGGCGCGTACTTGAGTGGCGCGACTGGATTTCATTGAGCAGCGCTGTACTTTGCCATGCATCAACATGTCGCAGGGACCAAAAACACATACAAAACTTGTGAATCGTGGATCACAGTCGCTGATCAGGCGCGTGCGCCGGTGCCCTTCAAGGGGGGGGGGGGGCGTCCCTGGGAAAATTTCAAAAAATGAAGCAAAATCCTGCATTTTTGAGCGGAAAAAAGGGGGGGTTCCGGGCACCCACTGACCCAGGAACCCATACGGGGCACGCGCCTGCTGATTGTCCCTAGTATTACCTGGCACCCCTGCGCATGGCGTCGGAGAAAGTGATGTTGTTGATTGTGCGTGACGCACATGATGCTGACTAAACATAACTGCATGCATCCGGGCACAAAGAGATGAACACAAAAATAATAGAGTGGCGCTACACTCTGCGTAAGGCCATTCACAGAGCACAATGCGCGCTACCTTCTGCTGCTTCTCCCCCGTGATGTGCTAGTTGTGCCTTTTCTCTCTCTCTGCCCCCCCCCCCCCCCCGCCTTCTGCATACTAGGTGACATAATTCGCATCTTTTTTGGCGCTACTCTCTGCGTATATACTGCTCTGGTGTGGCTTCCACGGTATTCATTGTTATTACCTGACGATGGCCAAGTGCCAAGTGCCGAAACGTTGTAAAAAATAACGGAACTGGTTCGGATGTGATGTGCAGCGCTATGGGAATGGGTGTGTCCACCCGAATTCTTTTCACAGATGAAGCTGCAGGAAGCCTCAGCCCTTCTTCAAACAAAAATAATAGTTACTGGAAAGATGATTTCCACGATAGAACTGTAGCGTATTAATTTTGATTGTATGGATTGGGTTTCGCGTAAAGGATCCCCTGGATAGGCTTGGGCAGAACGGGAGGGGATTGGGGGGGGGGGGGGGGTCTTGGAGTTACCTACACAATGTTTACATCATGTTGCCCCCCCCCCCCCCTTGGGCAGGAGAGGGAAGGGGGAAGGGGGGCTACATTGATGTTACCTGCACACTGTTTGCGTGTCAAATACTTGGGCAGAGAGTAGGGGGGGGGGGGGGGGGCGGGGGGTATACATGCAGAGAGTAGGGGGGGGGTATACATGCAGGGAGTAGGGGGGGGGGTATACATGCAGGGAGTAGGGGGGGGGGGTATACATGCAGAGAGTAGGGGGGGGGGGGGTATACATGCAGAGGGGGGGGGGGGGGAGGGAGTATGCATGCAGGGAGTAATTTACTTTCGGTTTTGCATATCAATTTTGCTTTGCAGAATCGAATTATATATATGAATAGCAATTCGAAAATGTCGCATAGCAATTGTTTTTAACACTTGACAACATTGACCTTCTGCAGAGCTGACCAGAGTGCCAGCTCAGACCACAAGTACATTGTAACACCTTAGTTGCAAACCTAATCTGGTGCCAGGATGCATAGCTCAACACTTTCGAAGCTCTGTGCATCAATTTCATCCCTAAGAGACACACCCGGCATGTACACTGTGCATCATAGAGTACAGTGAAAAACATGCATCGCAGTTTTCTGCGACATATTTCTGAAGTTGCTGCGCACCTCAGAGGAATTGCGTAGCAAACTGCGATGCGATACTGGTTAAATTATTCCCTGACATGTCTTGTTCACCAAACATCTTTCTCAGGGATGCATTCCTACTTCCTTGCCAAACCCGACGACCATTCATGGCGTGGCCGTGATAGACGGCCACTGCCGTTCGCCAAATGCAAGAGCTTCAAAAATATTCTTCCGTCCCGCTGTTCGAATGAGTCATGTCATCATGGATTAATTGCCTGCTGTTTTTATGTTCTGTTTCAATTTGCTACAGCTTAGTGAAGACTACTCTAAACGTGATTCAAGATGCCATCCGCTTGGGAAAGCAAAGTTTTCAAGGGACTTACCTCCACAATGATCAGCACGCTCACAGCGGATGATTTACGAAGGGAGTGTGCGTCGCAAAGCCTGATCACTCAGAGCCAAAAGACGAAGTTCGCAGCTCTCATGGGTCCGGCTTTGCAAAACGAGGCCCTGTTGGACGCCGTACAATCGGGAGACGACAGATCGTTCCATCTATTCTTGGAGTGCGTTCGCAAAGTTGGGCCCGAGGCCAACGTAAGAGCGATCCTGGAGAAACTGGACCAGATTGACAAGTACCGAACAGCAGCGGGTGAGGTCACTTGGCTTTGCAACGAATTACACCTGTACAATGTTCTACTGTGTGAGCATTCACTTGTCACCGCGCTTCGTATAATATTACCTTTTACGACCTAAAAACGGAACTAGGAAAGGGATGGTCGACTTACAAACGGGGTTCATCTGCCGTTAAACCGGGAAATTGAGGTTCCAAGTAGGGGGCTTCGACTTATAACAGGGATCGACTTAAAAACGGGAAAAACGGTATGCTCTGCGCTTGGGTCGCACAGTGCTTGGGCGGACAGTTTTCAAACTTCCTTTTTACTAAATCTACACGCTATACATGTACTGAAATTAATATAGAAAGAAAAAAGGGTTTGCCGGGGGGGGGGGGGGAGGTGGGAGAGGGGGCTTGTATACTAAATCGGCGGACGAAACTGTTTCGTTCTTTGTGGATGCATCAGCACAGTACAGAGAAAATGAGGCTGAACTGGATAGAACTGAAAAGGTCAATGTGTTCAATTTTTCAAAGCCAGATTTTAACCAGGCCCGAACCTACCTTGGCAAATTACTCGAACTAACAAGTCATTGAGCTCTGCGTTATGCAAACAGTGAATGCACTACCCCACGTGTCTACCACTGTGTGTGCGTGTGTGTGTGTGTGAGCACGTACGCGTGTGTAAACCTGTGTCTCATGACATCAGTTGTCATTGTGGCCGGGAGTTTCGCAGTCACCAGAACCTCACTCGCCGATCGAAGTTCTGTTCTCCGTGACTGAAACACTGTCAGTCCTTTCAGGACCTATCGTCATCTGCGGATGGGCATTATTGTGTTGTGTTTTAGTGTGTGTGAGAGACGGCAAAAACCTAGGGTGCATTTTTTAGATGAAGTAGACTGTGCATGACGTTAGGTATTTGTTGCCATACTAGGCAATTTGGGTATGCCCCGCTGCCTTGTTCTAGCAGGAATGTGTGCTTCTTTTTTTTCATATACTGCAGCAGCAGCACCCCAGGCCGCTGAGCCAGATGCATCTCCGATCAGTAAGCCCCCAGCAGCTCCGAGGAAGCCGTGTCCTGGTACGTTAACTTTACTTGTCCACCTCATATTCTTTACCTACAGTACTCCAGTAAACCCTGTGACTAACAACCACCCCTTGGGGCCAGAGAAAGCGGTCTTGAGTGACAGGTGGTCCTTATTTAGAGGTTTGCACCGCACAACCATAATATCAATGTGAGACCGTCCGTTCCTGGCGAAGTGGTCTGTAGTAGCAGGCTGGTCGCTAGCCACGGTGGTCTGTAGTTACAGGTTTTACTGTATTGGGCGATTCAGAACGGAGCGCCGAAGAAAGACCAGCCTAAAGGTTCACCAAGCACAGCATACCAATGTACACAAGGTGACTCGACTGGGCATAGACTTGAAATAGGAATGGTCTAGGCTAGGAGGCCCCCCCCCCCCCCCTCTCCCAGTTCTTCGGCGACCGACAGTACTGTTTGCTCTGAGAACCAGCACTGTGTTAAGGCATTACGTCATCATTCGGGGTGCTTGCATGCAGTGACGGGCCTCACTGCTAAGTCACTGCACTCATAGCATACTATACATGATGATTTTACATTCGCATGACGTCATAGGGAATGACGTCGATGCTGTGCTCAAATCTGCTTCTTACGTTTTGTTTGTGATCAGCTTTGGTCGTGCTTTCTCTGGTATGTTAACGTGGCCCATTATCATCATTATGGTGCACACTGGGGACAACATCAGTCATGGATTTATAGTCACGCCGAAGAGAGAGGGGGGGGGGGGGGCTTGAGTGTAGTGCTCCAGATACAGTAAAACTACAGACCACCGTGACTAGCGACCAGCCTGGTACTACAGACCACTTCGCCGGGCACGGACGGTTTCACATTGATATTATGGTTGTGCGGTGCAAACCTCTAACTAAGGACCATCTGTCACTAAAGACCGCTTTCTCTGGCCCCAAGGGATGGTTGTTAGTCACAGGTTTTACGATAGTAAGTTGCATGTACCGTTTGTTCCCCCCCCCCCCCCCCCCCCCTATTTGCGAACGCTGTAAGCATTGCTCGGTCTCAGGACTCGTACTAAAATAATTTGGTAAAATTCAATGGTCTCTTTGATGCAACAATCCGAACCTTTCCTCCAGCGCCACAATTCCGGGCATGACACGTCTCCGGACTGAACAATCACTCATGCCTCGAACTTTGGTGCATTTGAAAAGATTTTCTCTCCTCAAAAATGTAAAAATTTGGTATGTGCTGAGTTGCCACGCCTGCCGACATGTCAGTAGCATACTGATTTTTGAGGCATGTCTAGACCTGCCGACAATTGACCTTCTCCTGCCGACAACAGCCATGAAAGTGTTCAAGTTTGACCTTATGCTTGGTTTAGAAGTCACGATCCAGATTTTGGCTTTTACTGCGCATCACGAGTGTTTCCATAGCTCTCTCCTAAGGCGCTAAGCGAAATTATCATCCGTCTCGGGACAAATCGGTACACTCAGCCCGAGTCTCACGCAAGACCGTGATATGTTTTCTTCTTATCAGTGCCGCGCGCGCGTGTGTGTGTGTGTGTGTGTGTGTTTGTGTGTATGTGCGTGTGTGTGTGTGTGTGTGTGTGTGTGTGTGTGCGTGTGTGTGTGTCCCATATGGTGCAGTGGTATGTGCAGCGATTTCCAATCGATAGGTTGCGGGTTCAATTCCCGACGATTATGGTCACACACGTCTTTCTTCTCTTTCTCAGACTCTTCCTGACTTTTCTTTCATTCTCCTGGGTGGTTACCAACAGCCAGTGCATGCCGGAGTATGTGGTGTGATGTGTGTGCGGGGGAAAAAAAAATGAAAAGACCAAAAATAGGGATTCACTGGCCAGAAAAATCACTTCAAATAGCTGTATGGTGTAGACCAGGCTGAATAGTGACAGTCAATTCTTCAGCCTTGCAAGCTGTTGAATGGTGCAATCCCAGCACAAGTTGCTAGGGCTTCTGCCGTAGCATTGCTATCATCGCCTCCGGCGATGGGCGTCAAAGGTCAAGGTGTGTGTGTGTGTGTGTGTGTGTGTGTGTGTGTGTGTGTGTGTGTGTGTGTGTGTGTGTGTGTGTGTGTGTGTGTGTGTGTGTGTGTGTGTGTGTGTGTGTATTGGGCTACTGTGAAGTGAGGGGGGGGGGAACAAAGCCCCCGGATGATTCATTTCATTGTTCATCCTACTGATATTTCACTATAATGATGTGGCAACACTGTATGTGTGCTGGCACACAGTAATGCGTGAATGGCTATGTTGGATGAACTCGCAGAATTTTTAAAGACAGTATTGCATCAAAATTGTTATGAATTATCGTGTCCGTTCCCGAGGGAACTCACAATGGCCACTAACGTCCAGTAAATCCAGGGCAATTTATTTATTTATTTCATTCCAAGCTATACATGGCTGGGTTAGCCAATGACCACTTTGCGTGGAGATTGCAGGGTGTTTATCGCCAACCACGGTTAACAAGGAAAAGAGCACAACTGTATATTAATTAACTCAAAACGAAACTTTGATTTCTTTTGAATCCCATCCAGACCCGTTCGAATCAGACACGTATATTACCACGCTCCATCCATGGATTAAGAAGCTGGACGCAACTGGACTTGCAGGGAAAGTGCAGGGACTGGGAATGTTGACAGGGGATCAGGTGACTGAGCTCGACAGGATCAAGAAGAATGATGGAGGACCAGCTCATAATGCTAGGTTGCTGGAGATCATTCATGGCGAGGAAATCCACGGATTTGTGAAGCTGTACAAAGCAGTCCTGACCGTCACAAAGAACATTGACAAGCTAGACCAGATGAAGTCACTCATTCCCGATGAATATTTGTCTGAGAAATAGAGGTCATAATGTTATAGTTTTTCACCCAGAATATTAAATTTAAAGACGAGTTAGTCATAACTCGTAACATTTTGTCTTTCTTCTTTTCAGAATAGACACTTATCATATTTTTTAGTACATTTTTTTATTACAGTACCGCACCCGTCTTGGTATTAGACTGTTGACTAGCACAGAATGTACAAACCCACAGAACAATCAACGGGGCCCTGAGCATGACTGGACACTACAGGCTGCTGTACGGCTGACCAGTTGTAATATCCTTCTTTGCATGTGTATGCGGCTACAGAACCGCGCCGTCGGAAGCAGTTTTCGATTGGTCCGGTAGTATCATGGCCTTTTATACGTTGTGTATGATATGCTGGCCCTGGGTGCACATGCCCTCCAAAGTAGTAAACAAGACTTGTGTTGGTAGCCAAAAGGTGGGTCCGGTGATAACCTGACCAACCGGACCGATTCTGGCCTGCGCTTCGTTCTGCAGGGTTTTGAGCAATCTTCGGAGTTGCCACAACTGGCTTGACGCAAAGGCTGTTATTCTGTAAGCCCGTGGCCTGTTGAAGTGCGAGAAATGTTTTTATATCAGGCGTCCTTGTCAGTGAGGCAGGGTGGCCCAAGCCGTTCCTTCTTTAGGTTGTGCTTTTGACGGAATGGTTGCACTCCAATAGAGTGGGTTTGCATGATTGTCATTTGACTAAATACAGTACAGCTATGACTCGGATGGAGAGCCAAGAATGATTAGTGTTTTATTGGAAAGAAAAGGGCCGAGGCAGTACAGGTCATGTGCACTAGATTGTCCACGAACACCTCCAGTTACTGTACAATCAGCTCATGCGATTACACCTCCAGTTACTGGACAATCAGCTCATGCGATTACACCTCCAGTTACTGGACAATCAGCTCATGCGATTACACCTCCAGTTACTGGACAATCAGCTCATGCGATAACATTGCACTACGGTCGCGCTAGAGCTGATTGTCAGTAAGTTTAGTTGTACTTGAAGTAGAATGTCATGCGATAACATTGCACTACGGTCGTGCTAGAGCTGATTGCCAGTAAGTTTAGTTGTACTTGAAGTAGAATGTCAGCACTGTTGGGCAGTGGCGTGCAATGTTATCGCATCATCCATGAGCTGATTGTCCAGTGACTGGTTCTGTGGTGTTAGTGGACAGAGTTGTATAGGGTAACTTGTAGTTCCTTGGTCCTTTTTTCCTACAGTGTAATCAGATCCTGGAGAAAGTGATCATGGCGTGTGGACTGGGGAACCAACATGGACGACATCATGTGACCCATCGATGCTGGGACTTCAGTGATGTTGGGGAGGGGAGGGGAGGAAGTGCACAGTGAGTAGTATGTGTCGGGCCGGTTTTGGCCCGGGTCATCCCCAGCCCAAATGGGGTACTATTGACCGGGCGCCCGGTTTTTTACCCAAAAAAGGGGTACTATCAATAGTACCCCATTTGGGCTGGGGATGACCCCGGGCCAAAACCGGCCCGATACATACTACTACAGTGCATACATGTATGTACCACTACCCCTTAGGGCCCGGTCACACATGCACTCGAAAGTGACGTATACGCTGAAGCGAGGTCGCAGGAGCGAAAAATGGCATGGCAACGGCGAAAAGCGGAACTTCCGCTTCAGCGGAAACTCCAATCCGCTTCCTCCAAAATTTTCGAGTGGTAGGATGTAAGGTCCTCCGACACAGCACACACACACACAGCAAGGTCAAGTCTTTATATATAGTTATGATCCATTAATCTTACGCGTTTCTGCCTGTAAGGCTTCGTCAGAGACAAGGATGAAATGATATGAATAAAGACTAGTAGTTATATAGGGCTTGATTCTATGTGCCAGATGGGTGCTTGGGCGGTAAATGCGCTATCAAGCAAGTTTAAAGGCGCAATAACTTGAGTTGCAGACAAGTGTAACAAATGTCAAAAAAGTTGTACAAGTTGAACTAATGTACTAAACCGTAAGACTGGGGGTCAAAATATGCGGTCATAGTACCAGAATGTTTGTACAGAGTCAAGATCATGCAGAATCAAAAGAGAGCGGGAAAAAATGGGCGGGAAAGTTTAGGTGGGAACCAGAAATTTCTGGTTCCCACCTAAACGCAGAGCGCTGTGCTCTGCCAGTGTCAGTGATTTGTACAATAGAATGTAAGCTTAGTACTACATGTAGTAGAGGAATCTAAATTGTACAAGATTAATAGAACAATTGCTTAGTTCTCCTGAAAAAGATTTTCCCGTCTTTCATAAAGGATTGTTTAATGAGAGCTTTGTAATCATTAGTAATGAAATGTGGATGGTACTGAGTAGTAAATAAAATAGTATCAGATTTAGGCTTGGGAGTTTTGCTTTCTATAGCATGATTCATTACAGTAGGCAAAACATCAGTGAATGAGCTAGCCAGAAATTGCGGAGGATAACCTCTTCTGCGTAAACGTTTCCAGAACAAAGATCTTACATGTTGAATGTCAGCAAGTCTTGAGTTTGTTCTGTTGTAACGCAGCAGCTCAGCCTTGATGAAAGCACGCAGATTAGCTCTTGGGTGATCGGAGATAAATGGTATGTAAAGGTATGCGTTGCGAGGTTTCTGGAATGTACGAAACTCAAACACACAGTGATCATTGTTAGATGTTTTGAAAATGTCCAGATCCAGGAAGATGCAAGAGTCCGAGGGCAATGTCCAATTTAATTTGATACTTGGAAGCTCACTGTAGAGAGACGCTTGCAAAGCTGCTAAATTAGCAGATTCTTCGATCACTAAGATAAGATCATCAATGAATCTATTGAATAAATGCATGGATGACTTGAATGTGGTAATAGACTTCATTTCATGTACGAAAAGGAAAGCGTTGGCCACATTTACGGCCATTGGGGTACCCATGGCCATTCCGAACTCTTGGTGGTATAGAATGTTATCAAAAATGAAGTAGTTGTTTTCTAGAACAAACTTTAACAGATCTAACAAGAGATTTCGAAGTGGGTGGTTGACTAACAGGGAATCGACTGCAGCTATAGTGTCATGCCAGTTCATGTTAGTGTAAAGTGATTCCACATCTGCCGTGAGAATACGGACATTGTTTGGAAAGCTAGAGGTTTTTAAACGATTTGTAAGCATTGTTGTATCTTTAAGAATTGTTGTGTCTGCTAGGGAGAGCAAAACTATTCGTAAATGGTGGTCAACAAAACGGGAGGCAGGAGATGTGCAGTAATTAATACACGACACAATAGGCCGTCCCTTTAACCCACACGGACCTAGAGGCTTGTGTAGCTTAGGCAAAAGGTAAAACTTAGCGGGTTTAAACGGAAAAGCAGCAAACATACAAGAGCGGTCCTTAACATTGAGCAAGTCATCATGATCATTGCAAATGTCTAGAAGTTCGTCTTCCAGGAAATTAACTTCTGGTACAAAACGAGTAAAGGGTTCGTTTATACCTACTGGTACGTGGGTAACTAGACGGTAGAACTTAGTGTCATTCAGCTGACGGTGGCCTTCTGAAAGGTAATCAGACTTATTAAGAACAACAGTTCCCAGATTCTTATCTGCATCACAGATGATAATATCGTTATACTGGTTGAGTTGGATGATAGCATTACGTTCTGATGAGGAAACATTTGGCTTTCGTTTCAACCATCTGCTTTGTGAAACGTTGTTAAGGAGCTCAGTTTTAAATTCCGCTAATGCCGATTCAGACGCAGAGGATGCTTTGGGTGGCTGGATATTTGACGGCTGGTGGAATTTTGGGATGAATAGTTTAGATGAGAGTGGCTGTTCTGGTCGATTCATGAAGAAGTCGGACCAACGAATTCTTCTCTCAAAAATGGTGATGTCATTTAATAAAGTGTCAGTAGAAGGCAGTGATGAGGTAGGTCTAAACTTAGAACCGTAACCTAGTACTTGCTTCTCAACTGCAGTGAATGAGTGGTCAGAAAAGTTATGAAATCCAGAGTTGGTAACTAAAACGGCATGGTCAGAAAGTCTAAGGTGCCAAATATAGCGATATCTCAAGTCAGCTAATGTTTTCTGGCTCTTCGGCGGGCATTGGCGTTGCCTTTCCCCCCTGGCTTCGTCTTCCGAGCACCGTTCTTGTTTTTTGATTTCTTAACCTTCTTCACTGGATTCGTCTTTTTCTGTTTCACTTCCAGTTGTTTCACTTGTTTCACTTCCATTTTCACTTGTGTTCTCACTTCTTTCTTGATGAGGCTGCCAATTTCTTCTGTTGAAGGTGGTGCAGTTGACACATCAGTTGGAATAGCGGCAGCTGCACTGGCCTTCTTTTGCTTCTCAGCCAACAAAGCTTTTGCTGTACTCCCAGCTAGTCTGGATGCGAGTAATGTCCTGAATGCTTCTTTAACTGGCTCGACTGCTGGTCTAGTGTCGGCATTTTTGGACAAAGCTTTCAGTAGATCATCAAAGTCAGAGTAGGCAGTTTTCATAGTAGCTTCGGCTTTGGCTAGTTTCACATTGCAAGCGTTGATAGCAGTGTTGGTGAAGTGTTTACACTGGATGTTCATAGCTTCTGGGCACAGGTTCTTGTACTTATTCCTAACCCAAGTCGGAAATTCACAGGAAATGAGCTGTGCTTCTAATGAGGCTAATTTTGCAGATTGCTCACCGATAATCTTCTTGGATGTGAAGATACGTCCGACGCACCAGGAGTAGTATTTGGACGTGTCATTGTCGACAAGATTCGGTGGAGCAGAGGTGGCTGATGATGTAGCGGCGAACGAGGTAGCAGTGGCGGTTGGCGACGTCTGCATGGATCGTCGGCGCTTGGTGCTGGCTGGAGTGCTGAGGGAGGCCATGGTAGCGGTCAGAGTGGTAGGATGTAAGGTCCTCCGACACAGCACACACACACACAGCAAGGTCAAGTCTTTATATATAGTTATGATCCATTAATCTTACGCGTTTCTGCCTGTAAGGCTTCGTCAGAGACAAGGATGAAATGATATGAATAAAGACTAGTAGTTATATAGGGCTTGATTCTATGTGCCAGATGGGTGCTTGGGCGGTAAATGCGCTATCAAGCAAGTTTAAAGGCGCAATAACTTGAGTTGCAGACAAGTGTAACAAATGTCAAAAAAGTTGTACAAGTTGAACTAATGTACTAAACCGTAAGACTGGGGGTCAAAATATGCGGTCATAGTACCAGAATGTTTGTACAGAGTCAAGATCATGCAGAATCAAAAGAGAGCGGGAAAAAATGGGCGGGAAAGTTTAGGTGGGAACCAGAAATTTCTGGTTCCCACCTAAACGCAGAGCGCTGTGCTCTGCCAGTGTCAGTGATTTGTACAATAGAATGTA